AATTTCAGCCCCGCAGCTTTTATAGGTCCTGAGATGAAAGTGCGTGACAGACGCACACACAGACAATCTCACGTCAGTATGCGTTTTTCGCATTGCATTGCTGTAAAAAACGCATAAAAATGTAAGGGAATAAAAAAAGGAGAATGTGAATAAAATATAATTAAAATCTGAATGGGAATGTTTCTGTCCCTTAAGTCGCATACATTCCTGTTCAGTGCTGCAACTGCACTTCGTCAGTGTGACGGTTGCAGCAGGAAGTAGTATGCAGTGTGCTAAAAGAAAAGTGAAAAATGAGAGTTAAAAATGAAAGACTAGTTAAAATACAAGTTGAAAACGCATTTTATAAAACGTTACCTCCGGTAAGGCTCGGAGCTGCTGCTGTTGCTGTTGCTGCTGCTAGCACAGCAGGATGCCGGTTTGGTACGCAGCTCTGGCTTTGCAGATGTTTTTTCCCTGCCTGGCGCACGCACCGCTACACTGGCTGCTACTGCTGCTGCTGCTGCAGTGCTTGCATGGCTGTCCATTGCGGGGGGTTGTAATGTGCGTGTGTTGCTGTTGCAGGAGCGATGTCGGGGAGCGCCAGGAGAGCGAGGAGCAGCGACGAAGCAGGCTCGAGGGGCTCTTCCAAGAATTCATTGCCGAAGGCGCACCAATTCCAGTTGCTACCGATCTACGGTGCTCGAGCAATGCCAGAACCACTCATTTCAGAGCATCTACATCGGGCTTTCGCCTGCCGAACAGTGCCGGCATTGGCGGTCCCAGGTCGACGCCGGCCAGCAGCAGCACAGCTCCGTATGTCCATGTGACGACCTTATATTTCATTTCTCTTCACTGTAAACGCCGAAGAAACGGTACAGTTTAGGAATGAAACACAGACAGGACAACAGCTAATGCACATACAGGCTCGCTTACCAGGGTGTCTGAATTAGCACTCACTGCTTTTCCACAACTGACAATATTCGACTGTGTCCCTTTCATCGCCTGGCCTACAGCGTCAGACAAATATCCATTGTTTACATTTTTCAAAAAATTTCCAAAATACTTAGGAACTGGCGCCGGCAGCCTGCCTCAGCTTCTCTCTGTGCCTGTTCCAGCCGTACTCGTTTTTCGCCGAGTTTTGGGGAATGGGCGGGCGGAGGGAGGGAAGCAGAGGGCATGTTCTTGATGGATTTTTGCGAAAAAACTTTCTTTATGGGCTATGAGATACGGCGCTTGAGCAGAAGAGGGAAGATTCCCTCCAACTTTAACAGCCACTTTTAACATACCTTGAAGTTTACGTCAGAAGTTTACGTCAGACGGCTGCTCTTCTGCGCTCCGTGTCGGGCTGATGGTTATGGCTTGTTTATTTTTTGTCCAAGATAAGCATGGCTGTTAAATGGCCGTGAAAAATCAAGCCCGATTGTCCGCAAGTTTGCCACGACACTCTGCACCGCTTCCATTGAGCTGCTGCAGCGTCTCGTTTATTTCGCAATGGTTGGAGCTGTGTCGTCCGCAAAACGTGGGTGATTTAGCCGCTTGTTCAAAATTGAACATGAGCAACTTAAAAGAGGCAGACAGGAGCTTAAAACTGGCCGGCGTTGTTTTCAGCAGTACTCGGGTTCGGCTTTGCCTGAACAGAGCAGGCTCGCCTTAGTAATTGGTGGCTTTCATTGCCTCTTAGAGGGTTTTCCCAGACGCGTTCTTTCTCCAAGCATCCCCCAAGCATTCACGCTTCAAAGGGCAACATGCACTGAACATTGTGCGCGAGGGGCAGAGAAACACTGGAAGGAGCCGGCTGGCAGAATTGACTGCGACCCTCTGTTCCAGGGCGTTCTAGGGCTGTTCCAGGCAAAAATCACAACGAGGTAGTGATTTTTAAATTTTTGGAGTAAATGCATGCAGCATGAATCGAGCATTCTTATAATATTCAGCGATGCCGGACAGAATGTATGTTATTCAAGTGAAGTGGGCCCAGTGCTGGGATACTGCTCGTAAAATATTTCAGGATGAATGCGAGAGATGTTCGCGAAGGAGATGATCAGCCACCGAAGGCACCGCAAAAAAAGTAAGAAATAAGCAGCAGCCTTTAAAATTTTGATCTTCCCTGTAATAACTGCCTGTCAAAATTTGCAGACGATGTTCCAGTAGTTTGCCAGGTGCGATCAGCAGTCTATCGAAGAAGCCAAAAATGAGCATACTGGACAAAACCGCCAAAGACTGGGGAGCTTTTAAAAGTGAAACAGGAATTCAGGTCCACTTTTTCTTCTCTCTTTCTTGCCCTTGTTCAGTGCTCCAGGCACTACAGAGGCACTGCATAACTGGCCGCTCCATTCTTCTCAGCAGTGGCTGTTGAGCTCCCCTTCTGAGGGCAATCGCGGGGGAGGGGGCGGAATTCGACGAGTGCTCGGATAAAGGGTGCTGGAGGCCTGTGTGCGATTTCGCACGGTTTTCGACCGTACTCGTGCCATTTGGGATAGCGTATGCTGAAACCACTACTAAAATGCTGCGCCGGTGATGTCTGGTCGAATTCCGCCCAAGTTTTGAAGCGTAAAAATCTCAGTTGCATCTGCCCTAGGATTAGAGTGCACTGCTTGTGCGTTCCCACCTCAGCTGGAGAAAACGGTTCCTGTGTGCTGTTGAGATGATAAATTGGTGCAAATGTGCTCGGTGTGTGAAGTAGTCGTGCAGTTCCAGGAAACGCAAGCCTGCACCTTTTCGTATGAAAATTGCGCTTTTCTTCTCATTTCAATGGACTTTTGATTTTTTGGGTAGTTTGTGGTACTTTCAGGAGGAACTGTTAAGCCATAATCGAGGTAAAAATGGTTACATGGAACGGCTTGAGTTCCTGAATCGAGCCGATTACAGGCAATTTGAAAAGGAACGCGATGCACGGAACGCTGCTCGTAAGAACAATTAATGTATTTGCTTATT